TCAGTATGCGTTCTGTGTAATTCCATTCACCGAACGACTGCCTTTTAGTTATTTTACTGCCCTGCACTTTGATCTGTGCAAAAATAGTTGAAATGTTAATAGTTTAAAATTTTACGCATCGGTATATAAAAGCTGAATCTGAAACTTCGGGGGGTGAATATCCTTCCAAAATTTCAACCCCTTGATTTTCTGGCGCTCGAGTGGTCTTTGAGACAGGACTTTCACGTGGTCGTACATGAGACCTCAGCATACTCAGGAACTGAATTCGTGTTTACGAAGCCCCCTGCTTAGGCAGAAAGCATTCTCCAGAAATTTTCAGCCCCCTAGCTCTTCTGGCTTCCGAGATAATGATTTTTCCAGCTAAAATTTCTACGAGAACTTTGAAGATTTGCGGAGCTATACGTGGGCAGGGGATGCCACGCTAAAATTTCAACTTTCTGGCTTTTGCAGTCTACGAAATAATAATTTCCCTACCAAAACTTTCACGGCGCCGTACGTGGTGCCCAGGGGTGAGTGAAGGCTGAATCCAAATTTGTGAGGGTAGTATATTGACAGGAGACATCGCCGTAAAACTTCAATTTCTCAACTTTCGTGGTTCCCGAAATAATAATTTCCCCGCTGAAACTTGCACGGGGCCGTAAGTGTTACCTGAGCGCGCGGGAAGGCTGAATTTAAAAGTGAAGAATTGTATGTGGGCAAGGCACTCTACTGCAAAGTTTCAGCTTCATGGTCCCGGAGATAATAATTTCTCCGCCAAAATTTTCATGGGGCTGCAGCTAATATTTGAGAGTGCGAGGACGCTGAATTTAAATTTGCAAGGACGTACGTGGGCAGGGGGTCATTACCTTAAAATTTCGGCTTCCTAGATCCTGCGGTTCCTGAGATAATAATTTACGCACCAAAATTTTCGCGAGGCCGCAGGTGACACTCTAGAGCGCGTGAACGTTGAATCTGAATTGCAAGGTTGTACGTGAGGAAAAGGTTAGTGCCTAAAAATTCCAGCTTTCTAGTTTCCGTGGTTCCCGTGATAATTTTACCCGTTAGAACTTTTACGGGACCGTACGTATCACCAGCGGGTATGGGGAGGCTGCAGGGTCACACGTGGATAGGGGACATTCTCCTAAATTTCAGCTTCCTA